AATCCACTCACCTCAGTCTCCCAAGGCACGGGATTACAGGCTGAGCCACTGAGCCTGGCTCATAGCACTAGGTTTTAACTCTGGAGGTCGGCATCCTCTTCAGGTCCCTACATGCTTTGGGAGCTGTCTTCCATAAATCCTGCTATCTCGCTTTACGGTTGTCTGTGTCCTTCATTCTTCCTGGGCATGAGACAAGAACCTTGACCCTGACAGAGCTGCAGACGATCATTAGAGCTGAAAAGCCATGTACGCCAGAGGCTGGCTTGCCAGCCAATGGAGCTGGCTGAAGTAGTAGAGCTGTGGGGAGATGAGATTCCAAAACTGAGACACACAAGGAACTAGGCTTGCCAGCCCACCAAATTGCAACACTCTCAGGGCTTGGCTTACCAACCCCTTGACGACTCACTCTGGGGTTTGACTGGCCGACTCATTGAGCTGATACTCTTGAAACCCAGGCTGACCTGGAAAATTTGCATCATAGAGAGGAGGTCTTATCCAGTTGCCCAGGCTGGTCTTAAACACCGGAGTTCAGGCAATCCTCTCACCTCCACCTCCCAAAGTTCTGGGGTTACAGGTGTGAGCCACTGTGCCTGCCTCAGGAGGAATCTTATTTAAGACATATGTAAAATACCTGATACATGGTGGGTGGTCAAGAAAAAGTAGCAGTTTTACTATTACTACTACTGTTCCCACAGTTACTAGTTACCTGGGATTTCAAGTTACCATTCCTTGATCCTGAAACCATGGATGACATTGCATATCCACAATTAGAGCTTCCACGGCAATGATTTTTTGTTTTTCTTGAGAGTACTGGGAAGTCATTGAAAGGTTTTCTTTCTATTTTATCTTATATTTGTATTTTCTTTTTAGTAGGAGTCTCACTCTGTCGCCCAGGCTGGAAGGCAGTGGCACACTCACTGCCACCAGTCTCGACCTGCTGGGCTCAGGCGATCCTTCTGTCTCAGGCTTCCTAGTAGCTGGAACCACAGGCGTGCCACCACGGCCGGTTAATTTTTGACTTATTGTAGAGATGAGGTTTCACCAAGTTGTTTGGGTGGGTCTCGAACCCGCGGGCTCAGGCAATCCTCTCACCTTGTGCTCCCAAAGTGCTGGAATTACTGGCTGAGCCACTGAGCCCGGACTTAACTTTTTGATTTATTGTAGAGATGAGGTCTCCCCCAGGTTGCTCAGGCTGGTCTCGAACCTGTGGGCTCAAGCAGTTCTCTCACCTCAGTCTCCCAAAGTGCTGGGATTCTAGACATGAGTCACTGCACTTGGCCAACTTATTTTCTACTGTACTATTTTTCAGGTTTAGTGATGTATAATTGATGAGCAATAAAATGCAAATATTTAAAGGGTACAGTTTGATGGGTTTTGATATATTTATACATTCATAATCACAGTCAAGATAATTAACCTACTGATCACTCCCCTAAATTTCCAACTCTCATTTGTAATCCCTCCCTGCCCCGCTTCTACCTTCTTGGTCCCCAGGCAACCACTGATCTGCTTTTTGTCACTATAGATAAGTTTGCATAACCCAGGACACCACGTCAATGGCATTGTACAAAAATGTACTTTTTTGGGTCTAGCTTCTTTCATTCAACATAACTATTTAAAGATTCATCATGTTGGCTGGGTGTGGTGGCTCATGCCTATAATCCCAGCACTTTGGGAGGCTGAGATGAGAGAACTGCCTGAGCCTATGGGTTTGAGACCAGTCTGGGCAATTTGGCCAGACCTCATCTTTACAATAAATTTTAAAAAAATTAGCTGGGCATGGTGGCACGTGCCTGTAGTTGCAGCTACTTGGAAGGTTGAGGTGGAAGGATCGCCTGAGCCAGCAAGTTGAGGTGGCGGTGGCCATGAGCATGCCACTGCCCTCCAGCCTGGGCAACAGATATTTTAACAGTACAGTTTAAAGAGCCACCACGACTGGCTAATTTTTTTTATTTATCATAGCGACGAGGTCTCACCAAGTTGCCCAGGCTGGTCTCAAACACTGGGCTCAGGTAATCCTCTCGCCTCGGCCTCCCAAAGTGCTGAAAGTGCTGGTATTACAGGTGTGAGCCACCTCACCTGGCTCTTTTTTTTTTTTTTTAATAGGCTTTTACTCTGTTGCCTAGCTGAAGTGCAGTGGTGTGATCATGCCCACTGCAGCCTCAACCTTCTGGGCTAAAGTGATCCTCCTGCCTCAGCCTCTCTAGTAGCTGGGACTATAGACATTTGCCACCACACTCAGCTGATGTTTTCTATTTTTTGTAGAAACAAGGTCTTGCTTTGTTTCCCAGGTTGGTCTCGAACTCCTGGCCTCAAGTAATCCTCCTGCCTCAGCCTCCCAAAGTGCTGGCATACCGGTGTGAGCCACTGCACCCCACTTCCTTTCCATTTTCATAAGTGTCCTGAGCAAAATTTTAATTTTATTTTATGGATTGAGCATTTGAAAGTTACATTGATTTTTCTCCTGTGATGTCCCCTAGAAGTGTTATTGTTTTAGGTTTTATATTTACATCTAATTTGGGTTGTGACACAATTTCTGGTATTTAGAATGATCTCCTGGTGGTAGCAAGGAAAGTGTTTGGAGGGTGATAGCCTGGAGGCCTGAAGCTAATGAGTCTTGAAGAGAAATGATGGTGACTTTCATTAGGTGATGGTAGTGGAGGACACGGGAAGGAGTTAAAATACTGGGATGTGGAATGACGGGATATAAAAAGGGGAAGAGGTGTCTAGAATGATTCCTCGGTTTTTACTTACGCACAAAATCGAGGGTAACTTGCCTGTAAGTTTTTTGCACCACACATTGGCCAATAAAGAATTTTTTCTTTTAGGGAGATTATGATTGAAATTTGCCAGAGAGGGACACAGTTTCCTCAGACAACACACGGTTCATCAGGGCCCTTCTTGGTCCTGCCTGGAGCCCAGTATTGAACCTGACCTTCCAAGTCCAAAAGACTCTCACCGCCTCCACCTCCCTCTGCCAGGAAAGGTGCCCAAGCTCCTCCACCCGCTGAGCGCAGGCAGCGGGCGGCGCACGCCCAGACAGGCAGTCAGGGTCCGACCACCCGGAGAGCAGCCGACGTGCGTTCCCGCCATTTTGTCCCGCTCGCCGCGCTGCCGGCCCCGGCAGGAGACTACAAGTCCCGTGAGCCTCCGCGGCGTCACTTCCTCCCCACTCACTGTCCGGCCCGCTCCCTTTCCCCCTCCCCTAGGGGCCGAGGGCTCCGGCTGCTGCCCGGCGGCCAGCGGGACAGGTAGGATTTCCGGGGGAAACTGCCGTGGAATCGGAGGCGGCGGTGGCGACCTGGGTGAGTTCACCAGCCAGGAGAGGTGAGAAGCCGCGCGCGCGGCCGGACCGGGTGCCTCTCAGGTTGGGGCCGAGTTCTTGGCTCCGCAGGGGGTCACGTCCAGCGGGAGGATAACGGCCCGGGTCGCCGGCGCTTCGGGCCGGGCGGGGCGGGCCGCGCCACCGCCTCCCTCCTCGGCCCTCCCACAGCGGTCCCGCCGCGGCGTCTCCGCCTGCTGGTGCCCGCGCAGGCTCGTCCTCTCCGCCCCCGAGACTCGGCCGGCCCTTTTGTCTGGGCTGCTCTGCGCCCTCTTTGTGAACGTGCGCGGAGTCGCCTCCTCGGGGAGCCCGCCGGGCCAGTCCCTGCCCGGGACCGCTCCCTGGGGATCCGGTTACTGTAGCCGCATCGGGTCAAAGTACATTTTTCAAAACCGCCCTCCCTCAGACCTCTGCACCCCGGCCGGGCAGAATCTCCAGGGAAACGTCGAGGTCATTGTCCACCGTCAGCCCCCGGGGCCCCAGGGCGCGAATCTCCAGGCGTTTTTCTTGGTAGGGGGATGAGTCTGTGGAAAAGAAACGGTCCTCCTGCTCTCCTGCCCGGCGCCCCGTCCCTGGAACGGGGAAGGGATCGAATTTGCTGCGATGTCTGTACAGGTCACAGCTGTGGTTGGGGACCCGGTGGCAGAAGGGTCGTTGACACACCTCCCGAATCTCGGAGGAGAGTGGTTTCCAGGGCTTCATTGATTGCTTGCAAAAAAGACGCCAAGGCTTCAAGATTCGGACGCCCACCTCCTCTCTCCCTCCAGCCACATCCTTTTATCTTCCTCTTCTTTTTTTGTTTAAAAGAAAGTCCATTAATAGAAGGATCTGCTTTATAGAGAAACCAGAAACATAGTGGCTTCCAGAAAGCACTTTTTCACTGAGTAAAAGGGATGGTGACTTGAGCCTGGAATCGCCTGGAATCCCAGCTACTTAGGAAGCTGAGGCCAGGACTTTGTAGCCTGGGCAGCACAGCGAGACCCCAGTCTTAAAAATAAACGAAGCCAGTTTAGAGAAGGAGAGGTGGTACATTCTTACTGAAAACGGCAGAATTTCATGGATTTGATTAAATCTGGTTAGATAATGGTAACCATGTATGTGCCTTGGAAGACTGCATTGCTAGAATCAACCTTCTATTCTTTTTGAGTCAGGGTCTCACTCTGTCACCCAGACTGGAGTATAGAGGCATGATCAAGGCTCACTGCAGCCTTGACCTCCTGGGCTCAAGTGATCCTTTCACCTCAGCCTTCTGAGTATCTGGGACTACAGGTGCGTTCACACCTGGCTGACTTTTTAAATTTTTTGATTTGTTGTAGTGATGAGGTCTCGCTATGTTGCCTAGTTTGGTCTTGAACTCCTGGGCTCAAGCAGTCCTCCTGCCTTGGCCTCCCAAAGTGCTGGGATTACAGGTATGAGCCACTGCGCCAGCCTTCTTAAGGTAAAGTTTTCTTTTTTTCTTTCTTTTTTTTTTTTGAGTTGGAGTCTCACTCTGTTGCCCAGACTAGAGTGGAATGGCTGCGCCCGGCCACCGCAGCCTCAACCTGCTGGACTCCGTCAATCCTTCCACCTCAGCCTTCCAAGTAGCCGGAATTACAGGCACACGCTACCACGCCTGGCTAAGTTTTTGATTTGTTGTAGAGATGAGGTCTCGCCTGTCCAGGCGGGTCTCGAACTCCCGGCTCAGGCAGTCCACTCACCTCAGCCTCCCAAAGGCGCGGGATTACAGGCTGAGCCACCAAGCTCGGCTAAGGTAAAGTTTTCTTTTTTTTTTTGAGTTGGAATCTCATTCTGTCACCAGACTGGAGTGCAGTGGCCGCTCCCAGCCACCGCAGCCTCGACCTGCTGGGCTCCGGCGATCCTTCCGCCTCAGCCTTCCAAGTAGCTGGAACAACAGGCATGCGCTACCACGCCCGGCTAATTTTTTGATTTATTGTAGAGATGAGGTCTCGCCAAGTTCCCCAGGCGGGTCTCGAACCCGTGGGCTCAGGCAATCCTCTCACCTCAGCCTCCCAAAGTGCTGGGATTACAGGCTGAGCCATCGAGCTGGGCTTGGGTAAAGTTTTCTAAAGGCCATTTCAAATACCTCTGTTGAAAAGTGAATTAATTAGTATTTCAGGTCTGGACCAAGGACTGCCATGACCCCTTTGTATGAATCTGGGAAGATTATTGAAGTTATATAGGTTAATTCCTGCCCTAACCAAATAGACAAATAAAGCTTTTTGCATTTTATTACTTTGCTTAATATCTCATTTGTTTGTTTGTTTTTGAGTTGGAGTCTCACTCCATCACCCAGACTGGAGTGCAGTGGCCGCTCTCGGCCACCGCAGCCTTGACCTGCTTGGGCTCCAGCGATCTTTCCGCCTCAGCCTTCCAAGTAGCTGGAACTACAGGTGCGCGCTACCACACCCGGCTAATTTTTTGATTTATTGTAGAGATGAGGTCTCACCTCCAACCCACGGGCTCAGGCAATCCACTCACCTCAGCCTCCCAAAGGCGCGGGATTACAGGCTGAGCCACCGAGCCCGGCTCCTAATGCAGTTTTTAAACTATCAGTGAGTTCTTTCATGTTTTCCTGGCTATGCTTTGAAGAAGCATCACAGAATTGCTCTAGAAGTTTTCTTTATTATTTTTTCCCCATCCAGCAGCACTATCTTAGCACTAGAAATTTTTTTCTTTTTAATTGGAGTCTCACTCTGTTGCCCAGTCTGGAGTTCAGTGGCACGTTCATGGCTACCCCAGCATCGACCTGCTGGGCTCTAGCCAGCCTTCCACCTCAGCC